TTTTGTATTTCTGTGCAGGAATTTTATTTCTGCATACTCATTATATAATTTGTACATAAAAATTAATTCTACTATGCTATGATACCTCAAAAAGGTTACAATAATAATTACAATTGATATAACCATTCTAAATACCTTTCGTACAAAGTTGAACCATGTTTTATAGAACAAAAGCAAGTGTCCGGATACTTTTGAGCGGTAGTGTATATCTGTCATCGATCTGTCATCGTGTATGGATTATCATGTTATTATGGGACGTAAGATTTTGTCCGATGAGCCCAAGATTGTGATCTGATGCAAGGAATATTTTCCTCGCAAGCATACTGAGGGAGTCTTTAAATCCTATCTGGAACAACGTTCTACCAAATGATTTTTTCAATCATCCAGCTAACCCGGAACATGAGCACGGATACTTCATATAAAATGCATCCCCATATGCACACCACTATCAGTGTATTTTTGATGTCCGATGAAGCCAATTGCAATTATAACGAAACGTTGGGAAAACTTTTATATTGAACACGACTGACTCCTGAAAGTCTCAAATAACTATGGATATATCTGTGTTATTATTGATCATTTTCAGTTTGACATTATAGCACTACATTCTTAACGCTTAATCTGTAAATAGATTGCGCGCGCGTCGTTTGTATAACGCGGGCGATGCATTTTGCATTTCGATGAAACTTAATAATAGTATTTCGCTAAAAGATATTTATAACACCTTCAACCTACATTGGATGATTTTAATGATTCTTTTGAAAAATCACAATTTATTTTTAAGCGCGGGTACTTGAAATTGGAATATTTCATTATCCACTGATTAAGTGGATTCAAGTATTCAATTGATTTACTTTCTTCATTACCTTCTGTGTCTTTGAACAGTATAAAGTTGTTGATGCTTTACGTTTTTATGCAAAATAAATGTACATATATTTTTACTAGTGCTACGCTTGGTGCTGTAAGAGACGTTCCGAAACAATATATAGTTATCCATTACAATATTGGCTGTATAAAAAACGTTATTGGGAATACAGAAGAGCTGTTTGGGCATCACTAGATCTAGGTTTACCAACAGAGAATGAAATTTCCTTGTCTGAGCAACGCAAAATGAAGTTGCAATCTCGTCGTAAGTCGGTGGAAATTAGAAGAGTTGATCACAGAAGACGATCAAAAGCAAAATCTATTAACAAACATGTTAGTTCTGATAGCGACCAGTATACAAGTAACGAAAGATTATAGCTTTTTAAATTTTAGTTGTTTTTTAACAAAATCTCGCCTAAAATTCATAAATTATCCCGTAAACTTTAAACTTGAAATATTTTGACGCGTTTTGAGGCATGATAAGATGTTTTTTTACTTTTTTAAAGTTTTATAATTTCTTACATCGTGCTGTCTGTCGGAGACAAGTACATTAATAAAATATCCGATATTGCAATATATAATATATGTATAGGAATGACAGTGTTAACGTTAAAAGCTGTTTCAGACTTTACTGTATTTTCACTTGAAGTTAAAATTAAATTAGTATCTTATGAAATAGAAGGTTTGTGATTAGGTCTAATTAAAATTCGTTTAAGAAACATAGAAACAATAAACATAGTTATTTATGTGTCTCATCTTGCCTCGTATACGAATCAAATTATGAGATTGTCACATATATTTACATTTATTAATAATTCCAACTTCAAGATCAAGAAACGGACTTGGTTTGTAAAATGTTAAAGCCTTCATGCATTTTTCCATGCTTCATACCTTGCCATTTCATCCGATTAATAAACCTAAAACTTTCTTAGTCTTTCCTAATTTTGTTAGCTTTAGCTTTTTTCTTACATCTTCTTCCCCTCTTTTTATTTATGAATTTCCAAATCTCTTTCTCCATTCTGATTGCATTATTCGTGCACGCGCTCTTCGCGGACATTTTCTTACCCTGTCCCAAAGAAAAACCGATCTCACGCTTCCTGCGGGAGATTCCTCTTCAGAAATGTCTGCAGAATCCAATGGCGCATAGCAAATTCGTGCTAGCCAACCCACTTTTCATAGAAATGTAACAGAAGTGCGTACAAATTACACGCATCTACCCTTGTTAAACTTTGATCATCATTTACAAGCATTTAATGATATGCAATATTCAAAATTTGTATAGCTACGTGTTCGGGCAAGTCTCTTTTATTTTCTGCGACAAATTTTAACTGCCGATCGTTTTTAGTTTTCACGTAACACTTGGTTTTCTGAAAAATTCGACCGTTTTTACAGAAACCCAATTTTCTCGAAAACTCGACGTGACCCAGCAGTTTGGTTTTCGGATTCGTATTTAGGGTAAGGAACCCTACTCTAAGAATCACCTAGTGGTTATTGTAAAAAGTAAAATAGGTTAAAATTTGTTCCACAGTGTTATCGCTTAAGATCATCCATACAATTGTATCTTCTATCTCCAATCGCTCCTTCTTTCTTTTCACACGTATTCATTTTCACTTGCACCTACTAATCGCTGCATTCTCACGGCTCAGTCGTTCAGTCCCAAACACTTTTCCTTCGCACTCTTCCAGCCATTCAAAATCTTCTAAACATAGGTCATCCTATTTCCCAAACATACCAGCGCACAGTCTGACGGATTGTCAATCTAGCTGGACTAAAGTCATTTTTATGACTATTATAGAATCATTCAGTTTTTACTTAAAGTTACATTATATTTTACAAAGTTAATACATTAATTTTACGAAGACTTATAGCCTTGGTAGCTACCTAAAGTTGACCGTTTTGTGGATCTGTTTTATAAGGTAATGTAACCTTAATTTGTGGATTGGAAAGAACCTCATGCTCCAAAGTTTATTGGTAAGATATCTCTATATTTTACGTTGGATATTTTTCCCTAAGGTGTGTACATGAAGATGCAATACAACAAAATTTTCTTACTTTATGTTAAATATGTTTTTTAATACCTTAATTTTATAGGACAATTTTACAAATTGTGTCGATGTATTATAATTTCGAGTAGATACGTACAATTCTGTTAATGCCTGTTAGTAATTTGGCTTATAAGAGTATATTTGAAGGTTCATTCCCTACAAAATATAACAATTTTCAGTATATATGAAGGGATTTCAAGTGATTGGAAGTGGTATCTACTATTTATTGATACTAATAAAACTCAAACGCTATTTTTATAATGCTCACTCATTTTCGAAACTCTTCGCTCACGACCCTACGGCGTGTCTTTTTATACTATTTTTTGCCTATTCACAATATTTCATAATAT